CAGGTATCCTAATGGGCACTGAGACTCCACATTTGGCTACTCAGAACAAACATCTAAGCAACCATTTAAGTAGCTATTACCTTCACTGTAGTTCATGACGGCAGGTTAGGAAGGAAACTGAAGTACTGAAATTCAACCCAAGTCCAGGTCCGTGATAGCCTCTGCTCATTTGTTATCTCCCAGTGGAGGCAGCTGAGCCCTGTAGTCTTGTTCCTCTGTGGGTGCAGATGTGTCACAGTGTTGGCAAGGCTAAACCAACCTTGCCACTTCTTATCTTGGTGTGGTGGGAACCCACAAATGGCCATTTTTCTGGGAAGGCTCATACCTGCCAGGTTGGGCTGCATAAGGCACAGGTATGCTGAGAGATCTTAAAATGGCATCTGGGAAAACTGAGTCAGTGATTCCCTGAGATAAAGAAGTCCATGGTTTATTTTCTTCTTCTGCCACAGGAGATTCAAGACTACAACTTCTGCTGCCTCTAAGGTCTGTGTTGTATCCTGCAGAATTAAACTAGGGAGAGAGGCTCACCCACCTTGTCATTACAGCACTCCCTGGAGCCAGGGTTTCAGTCCAAGCTTGCATATTTGACTGATCTCCAGAGGTAATGCCCAGGAGTTAGATCACTTGCTGGGAGGAATAGATAGTGAATCTCCTCATGGAGATGGTGCCAAGGGAAACCACGTTTTCCTGGTGCAGGGTGGAAACTGGTCAACAAGTACCAGGATATGGTCCCTAATTCTTCTGGATAAAAAGATGTTGGTGTCTAGCCTCTGGTGTCAGCCCTCTTCTTTAGGGAGGAAAATTAAGGAAGAAAATAGATGTTGTTTCAAATATGAAGTGTACTTAAGAATGCCTGTCTGGCTTAAAATAATTATTTATTTTCCTCTTCATAAAATGACTGTGTATATGAATTTCCATGTACTTGGAAATAACGATTTTGAGAATTGCATGTCAACAAAATAAACTGTTTAGATTATTTGATTTGAAACTTCTGTGCTTTAAGTTATGAGAAAGTAGGTACACTGACATTGTTTAATGAACTCAAATAAGAAACAATACGTAATATTTTGAGATTACCTGTCATTTTCAGGTTTAAACTTCCTACATGCAAATAGTAAACCTACCAGTCAGTGGAACACAAGCGTCTTTTGTCTAATGTTCTCCTTCATAAAACAAGTATAATTTTAGTTTGAGTCTGTTGTGAATTTCAGGTTGTTTAAGCTGCTTTACCATGACATTGTTCTCTACAGATATCAGTGAGCGCTGAGTGAAGATTTCTGATTACTGATTGAAGTGGCTGACATAGGCTCTATTACGAGTCTGCACGGGAGGAGGACTGAGCTCAGAAATAAGTACTGATGGAACACACTGGGCTACCTATTCCCGAAATGAGTGTGACTGTACAGGAATGAGGCAGGGCTAAAGATGACCAAGGTTAAATGGTCTGTGATCTGAAATTTGCCGTTAACTAGCAGACCATTTTAGTGAAACTTCTAGAGACAAACATGCTGTGCAAACTGGATGCAGTCTCTTTCCAACCACAAGCTGTCTGGGCTGTAATGTCTCTGTGCTTGCTTACAAGTCTGTAAAGTTACACTGGGAAGAACCAGCCCCATGAAATTGTTGCCAGAAAGTCAGAGTAGTAGCATCGACATAGCACTGATACAGAGGCCAATTTATCACTACTATTGATCAACCTTGACAGTGGTTTCTTTATTAGTAACAAGGGTGGGTGCTTATTTTTGTCTTCAACACTTGATTGCAGCTGTCTTGGTGAATCTTTAATCTGTCACACAAACTTACATGGCTTTGTTAGTTTCTGATAACCATGGCATTTTAATTGGGACTTTTTTGTTTTTATTAACTGTGCCTTGATCTTTATTATCCATCCCATTTTGAGCATGTTTTAGAGAACCCACATGTTTTGACTGTGAGGGTGGAAACAGGAGGGAATTAATTCCAGATTTGAACAAGAATTGGCAAGTAAAATTAGAGATTAATTTCCTTCATCCAAGCTGCTGACCATATGAATCAGCTTGCTGGAGTGGCTGGTGCAGACTGTCTTGCCTCATTACCATGGGTGACTTAGTACTTTCTGTACTTGGAGACACGAGGTGCAGAGAGGAGAGGAGCCCAATGCAAAGCCTTCAGTAGTGTATCTGTGAGGGTTCTGAGCACAGACAAATGGGTTCCTCCTGTTCCCTTACTAAATGGGGACAGGGCTACTACTGTGGTCTTGATAATGTTGCTGTTCATCTTACCCTGTTGGGCCTCTTCACTTTCCCAATGACCCACGGGTATGAGTTGTTCTCCAAAACCAGCTCTGTACTGGTGCTGTTCTTTGAGTTTTTTCCACATCACCTCATTCCTTGACACTGGGCCATGCCACATCAAAAAATAAAATAAATAAATAAAATAAATTAAAAAAAAATAATAAAAAAAAAAGAGAGAGAGAGAAGAGGAAAAAAAAAGTCTTTCCCTCTTCCCTTTTCTTCCTCACTCATTTTGTCTGTGCCCTTGCCACAACTCTGAGTCAGCCTGCAGTGAGATGCATAACTTTCTGCTAATAGATTCAAGGGGCAATAGTCACCAATTCACAAAACTGTTTGGAAAAGCAGCACCCAAAATGGCTGGTATCTGTTAACAAACTTATTTTCAGTATTTCTTTCTTACTGTGATAAGTTGTTCTTGTTTGTATCTGGCTTTGTGTTCACAAGTACCTCCCTTAAACCTAATTGCATTTCAACTGCAAAATACAAAGTTTGCTTCTTCGTTAGTTTCTTCAGGAAGCTCTGATCACCTCATGTACTCATTTCTGTTTTCTCCTTTCCCCAAAACTCATTTAGTAATCTTAGAGGTGATTGGTACAAGTATGTATGTTTTAGGGATACACGTAACATAGGAAAATGTTCTGTCTATTAAATTTTTGCCTGTCAGGGTTGTGACTGATGGCTCCACGTAAGAAATAATCCTAGAACTTAATCCAGATGAAGCATTAAAACTGCTGCTATTTTGTGACCTTTTGAGAACTTCAGGGGCAGAAAGAACTATGAAAGTCCAAAGCACAATCAGTTTCATTCTTCCTCTTTCCTAATGGAATTGTGTATAAACCACAAAGTGACATTATACATGTCTGACAGAAGGACTTCCACTGAACTTGCAATGTTCACAACGAATACATATATCACCTGTGGCTCATGAGGAATGCAGCAGTGATGATTTGCCTGGAATAAATTAGATAAGCCATAAATTCATTACTTTGCTGGGAGAGGAGTTACTGGTGCCTGTCTCTGGAGTAGCTGGTTTAAGCACAAGTGATGAATCAAGAGGTTTATCTGCAGTGCACAGAAGGCAAAGCATCTCATCAGCGTCTCATGTCACTTGTGGCCAGCCTGTGTAATGTCTCCAGTGGGAGCTCCTGTAGGGTTTTTCTTCACTCAGCAATGTTAAACTATGTAGTTACTATGCTATGAGAAAGTTGTGGGCATATTTACTGGTTAGGTGGGGTAGCACTGCAGTAGAGGAGTCTGGCCATTATGAGTTATGCTTTGTAAATGCTCTTTTAACATAAAGGAGTTAAGGATATTCCATTATTTTGGCAGGCTTAAGAAAACTTGCACATTCATGTATAAGTATAGTTCTACAAGTTTTTACACTTAAAGTGAGTTATTAACAGCTGCAGGCTTCACTGGCATGCTGGAGATGGAGTCATGCAAAATTTTCATCATATTTCAACTACATAACAATTCTGAATCATCTACCACAATCATGGACCTCTACTGAAGAAATCCTCTTAACTGTACCCAATTATGTGGAAAACTTGGTATTTTAAGCAATATATATATATATATATTACCTTTTCAAAGACTCACACCTACCTACAATGTGAGTAAGAGGATGTTTCTTTTAAAGTCCTTCAGTATTGAAGCTGCCTGCATCTAAAGACCTAAATTAAGAGACTGATCTCCCTGTGTGAGTCAGAAAATGAATCAAAAAATGAGCCGTGTCTCTCTCTGTGTTTGTTCTCTATGGAGGGATCCTAGAGAAACAACTAAGGGTCTGAAATTAGATGGTCATTATAATACATGTATAATCCCCACATAAGAGGCACCATAAAGAAATGTACAGTGAAATAAAATATATAATGCTCTTAGTCCATGCTGAACTTTGACAGTCTCTGAGCATATCTAGTACCAAAGGACTGTGATGTAAGCAGAGATGTACTCCAAGCATGTACTTAATACTCCTCTCATCTCATCTTTGGGGGGGGAGGAGGCAGGCTTTGTTTCTCATGGGTAAATTTCTGTGAGTATGTACTGTAGAACCCTTGCCTGGGGTGGATCAGAAAACACAAATGCTCTGTCCTTCTAAACAATTGCTTTTCATAAATTTCATCAGAAAAAAAAAAAAAAAAAAAGAAAAAAGAGAAAAAAGAAAAAAGCAACTTGTAACCTGCTTTTGTCTTAAGGAATGGAGATTTTATCATCTTGGAATATTTATGTGTTTGCAGAGCACCCATATTAGCTGTGCAGTATAATACTGCCAAGAGAGTCCTGAGGGCACTCAAATCTGCAGCAGCCAAGTGCAAACCACAGTGGAAAGCAAAGTACAGTATGCTCCCAGGTGCTTTGTGCCATTGCTCCTGAGAAGCATCTTAAAGGACTATTTTAGCAAGCATGTGTTAGGACAGAAGAGATATTTACTAGATGTTGAGATCCTATACATTAAGAATGCCCACAACATAGTTATTTAGTAGCACAGAAAAGCACAATAGAATAGACTATTTCATTCCTCCTTTATTCTCTGTCCTAAGTTTTTTGTTGGTCTCACTTAATTTTATAATTCCTGTTAGTAAAAATGAAGATCCAGCAGTAAAACGTTTAGGAAACAGCACTGTCTGCACTGTAGGCCATTAGATCTTGGTAAATCTGCTCTGGAATATCATCCTTTACAGTACATCTGTTTTTTTTTTCTTTTTTCTTTTTTTTTTCTGATGACAGGATGCTGTAATTGCAAACTGTCTAGATGAGATCCCACCAGTGCATTGTAAAACTACCACAAAGCATAACTGGGTGAGTCTTAACCATTCTTAGCAGTAGTCATTCTCTTCTAACCCCATGATTTGCGAAGGTATTAAAGGAAAGGACAGTTTCGACATGCATAAAAGAAGGCATTGGTATTGGCTAGTGATTTTTACAGGAAGAAAGAATTCTTGTGTGGATGGGGGAGGAGCAGGGAATCTCCAGCAATAAAAGTGGCAGAAAAAATCCATGAACTCATTAATGACCTCAGAAATGCCTTTTGTTTCAGCTGGATTGTCTGCCAGTAGCCAAATGCTAAACTAACACTGTGTTAAATTCCTTTTTTCTTTGTATTTAAACTAATTTTTAAATCTCTCTTCTGATCTTGTCTAGCTAAAGGGAGACAGAGGTTATATGCATACTCTTCTAAATTAGACTCTTGGCCATTTCTTAACTTTCTTTCAAATGTGTGCATGCAAATGAAGAAAAAGGCACTCTGCATAATTACTGGCAAGGGTGCAACACTTCACTGGCTTCTAATTCTTGGATGAAATGTGCACAGCCTGCTACACAGGTTGTCAGCATGTCTCAAGGACAGACTTGCTTCTGTCCAAGGTGACCATCGAGTTTTTCTCCTATGCCAGGCAGCTAGTTCCCAAAATAGCTGCTCCTTAGAAAGACATAGATGGCCATCCCTGTGTTTGGACACTTGTCTGAAAGAGTTTGGTAAGACCATTTGCATGGAAAGGTCTAGATCCAGTAACTGCTACAGGATTATCTGCTTGCTGCCTATTGTTGGTGTATGTTCAGGCATGTTCCAAAATGATGGTGCTCAGCAGCAGCTCGTGGACTGAACTGTTAGGAATGGAGGTATAATGGCCACATGTTGTGTTTTTGTTGGTGTTGTTGTTTTTTGTTTTTGTTTTGCTGTTGTTTTTTATTTGGTTTTTAATTGTTATTGGTTTTGCAAGGCTCTAGTCTTCCCATTCCTGATTCAAATAAATAAATAAATAAATAAATATAAAAATAAAACAGTCACCATATCATGGAGATGTTCAGATCTTTAAGGTGTCATAAAACAGGCACTGAAAAATCATTGGCACCAAGAGGAAGCCAAAGACACCTAGTTTTGAGTAAGGCTAGTATCATGAAATATTAAAGTCCTTTCACAGCATGTGGCTTTCAGCTCTCTCACCCACATAAGAGCAGTAGCAGTTAAATATGCCAGACTGCTAGGCAATTTTGTTTAAGAAATATGTCACTACTTATTTGACAATTAGTTAAACAGTTAGCTTCTCAAGAAAACTTTCTAGTTAAATGTCTCTCATCAAATACAAAGCCTGATTCATCCCTTCATTATTCTTACCTTCATTATCTGCTAGTGTCATTACGCAGGCAGGTGTATAGGCAGGTTTGGTAATTTTTATTTATCCATTTATTTTAGTTGGAATACTACTGTGGCAATATGACAGCCATTTATGCCTTTGAAAATTATCTCTATCTGTTCCCATTCTTAGAAGGAGCAAGTTACAGCCAGCATTTACTGCAAGCACACTATCCCTTGTGGAGCTTATAATAACATTTATTAGCCATTACTGTTGTATTCACTACGGGATATGTATCTCAATGAGAAGGCAGAAGTGGAGAGGGGAAGCAACTAATAGTATTTTACATATTTAGATAATTTTTTTGTCCTCAGAACTTCCCGTGTCATTGTTTTTCCCCTAGGTCTTTTTTTTTCCCCCCTTTCTGTTTGGGGCTTTTTTTTTTTTTTTTTCTCCCTGATAGATTCTTTCTTCTTTTGCCTCGTCTTGCTTGGAGGGAACCCCTTTCAAGTGAATCCCACTGTGCATATGTTGTTCCTTTAGGGTGTTACCTGAGATTTCTCTGAATAGTTCTGCCCATCCTTTTCTGAAGTCTTTTAATCCCATGAAAAATCCTTCAGTAGTGGTTCCTACAGCTGCAGTCATGGTTTCTGAGACTGAAATGCAGTCCTCTTCTGGTATCTCCTCCAGTTATCCTCTGAGGTTGGTCCTGCATCCCAGGTGAACTGTTTGAAATGGAATAAAATCAAGACCACACACATTTCAGTCTTTCCTCTTTCATGCTCTCCTGGTGGAACCAAGGTATCTTCCACTGGTTCAGGATGGCAGACTGAATTCAGGAAGTGTATGGCTCTGAAGTGCATGGCTCATTTTTGAAGCTTTAATTGCAAATTCAGATAGTTAAGCATCTTTTCCCTGAAATATCTCCTGAAATACATTATTAAATTTAAATTACATACCAGATGAAGTTATGAGGTACTACTGCCCTCTCCTGAATTTTATCTGGATTGGGTACACCATTCCAGCCACATATCTCTAGGAACTGTGTTCTATATTATAAAATGCCCCAGATCCACATGGGTGAATTGAAGATGTTGGTTACTTGGTTCCTACCTCTGTTAGGAAACTTGTATTGTGTGCTTGATTTCTCTGTATCCCGTATTTTTCATTTTCAGATTTTAAAGGGCTTCATTTTAAGGTTCAAACATTCAATTAATTTGTAAGTCTGTGGTTCTGCAGTAGCATTTGTAAATTGCCATTACTGTGCTGCTAAAATTCCCATTAGACTCATAGGCATCTCCTGTTTTACTACTAGCACTACCTTCTGTTATTATACACTGACTATTCTTCTGAAGTCTTTCCATCCTAAAGCAGAAGGGATAAATCTCTAGGCACATGTGTTTCTTCTGTTTAAAATAATTAAATATTAGAAAACAAAACTAAAAACTAGATGATATTAGAAAAACAGACCAGGCCAAATTGAAAAATTCAATTATCCTTTTGTAGTTCTCAAAACAGCAACATACACTCTCTCTTAGATATATAAGTCCTGCATGGCTGTCCTTTTTTATTTGCTTTCACCAGTGCTAAAATCATTTTACTCAGTTCAATGAAAGCAAAGTCCTGATAGTCAGTGATTTTTGGCAGTACTGAATGGCCTGATCACCTGGGTTTGTTTTTGTCATTGGAAATTACTACACAGCAAGATAGACTAACTTTTCTTGGAACTGCTTGTTTTTCCGTAGGCTTTATTTCAAACTGGAATTGAAGTTGTGTTCTCTGCGTTACCATTTTTTACATTATTCCTCTAAATTGTTAACAGCCTTATTTATTTGAGTCAGCCTATGAACTTTCCCATCATCCCAAATACACACTTAGGGTCTGCCAGTCCACAGATCAACTTTCCAGTAAATGTTTAATCAGTTTATCGCAAAAGAGTCTTTTTGTACAGGTTTCCAAAAAAGTTAGATGTAAGATGTACACAGTTCATGTATGGGTGTCCATACACATGTGTACAGCCGTGTGTTTGGCTACCACAGGATGTTTAAAAAAATGTTTAAAAAACTATTGAGCAGCATCCCTTCTCTGCAGAACTGTAGTGAAAATAGTAGGTATATAAATGTCCCAAGGCTGCAGACTTGCCTGCTGAAAGAACAAAAGCTGTACAAGCCTTAGTAGACACAGCAGAATCCACTCAAGAATGAGAGAGCAGAAATAATTAAACTGCAAGAAGATGTTCAGTCAGCTTGCATGATAATTTGGAGAATTTGCCCACAAAACACAGGTCTGAGCTTTGCCATTTCTACAGCTCATAGCCTGCACAGAAACTGGACATTAGAATAGATGTTTGAGAGGAAAGTCTCATCTTTTCACATTCTTTGCAGGGTGTCTAGTTAGTTGATGTCATTAATGTTGATGTTTAAATAAGTCAGATGCAATAAGCACTAAAAGCACCTATTTTGCCTTATTGTCTGTGAAAGCAGCTAGCTCAGGTGTAGACAAATTTGTATGGCAAATTATCTTATGTTCATGCAACCCAGTGCATGCCACTTCCATGATCTATCCATAGGAGGAAAGGAAGAGGATGTTTTTGGAAGAGGGATTTTGGCTTTCCCTACACCGCACTCAAACCTACCCTCCTCCAACTATTTAGGAGCCCTAGTTTGGTCCTGGGGAGCAAGTGGTCCTGGAGCCACTGGGGCACAAGTGCTCCAGCGCCCAGAATATGTGCCAGCAGTGAGCTCAGGTGTGCCATGCACTTTGGAAAGCTGTTGGCAATGTTAAATTCAACCAGTGCTGTCATGAAGGGAAAATGTAATAGGCAGAGAAAAGCACCTGGCCACCCCTACCTGGACTATCAGTCTCCCTGCGTGAATGTCTTCTGCTTTCGTAAAAGTTTTGGTATAAGCTATTTATTTTTGTAGGAAGATGTACTGTGCACTGTCAGGAAAGCCTCAGAAGCATGTATTTCAGAAATTAGCCCAGCTAGTTGCTAAACTAGCTGTATCGATCAACTGGTTTGAAAGGATTTGTGGTACTGATTGCGATGTGAATGGGCTCGGCTGTACTGTTGCTGCATTGTAAACTCTGTTTCTTTCAATGTTTGCAGGATTTCACGCTCCCACCTCCAGGGACACAGAAGAAAGTGGTGCAAAGCGGGCACGTTCCTCCTGGCCGCAGTAGGCAGGAGATGGCCATCTCGGGCAGCAGACACTGGCAGGGGAAGGCCGACCCTTTTGGTGCAGTAGCTGTCTCCTTGGTGAGCAGACTGTCCGACCAGCAGAAGATCAGCGAGCCACCTCTCAGCCAGTTCAGAGAAGTGTATTTACCCCTCGCACTGCGCCCTCTGAACAAGACTTTGGTCAAGGGCGATGAGTGGAAGGATGTGGGTAGCACCCAGGAAAAGCGCAGGTCCTTCCTGTATGAATTCTGCCAGAAATACAACAGCAGGAAGAAGCTGCGGACACACCTCGTGCACATGGTGTCACGAATTTACGTGGAGGACAGGCACAAGGTCCTGTACTGTGAAGTGCCAAAAGCGGGCTGCTCCAATTGGAAAAGGGTCCTCATGGTGCTCAATGGACTCGCCACTTCCACGCACAACATTTCCCATGATGATGTGCACTACGGAAAGCATTTAAGGAAACTGGACAGTTATGACTTAAAAGGGATATACACACGTTTGAACACGTACACCAAGACTATATTTGTACGTGATCCTTTGGAAAGACTCGTATCTGCCTTCAGGGATAAGTTTGAACATCCAAACAGCTATTACCATCCCGTATTTGGGAAGGCAATAATTAAGAAGTATAGACATAACGCAGATGAAGAGGCATTGAAAACTGGATCAGGAGTTAAGTTCAAGGAGTTTATCCAGTACCTGTTAGATTCCCATCGTCCAGTAGGAATGGACATTCACTGGGAGCAGGTCAGTAAGCTCTGCTATCCCTGCCTCATCAACTATGATTTCATAGGAAAGTTTGAAACCCTGGAAGAAGATGCCAATTACTTTTTGCAGCTGGTAGGTGCTCCAGCTGAGCTAAAATTTCCAAAATTCAAAGATAGACATTCCTCTGATGAAAGAACAAGTGCAGAGGTAGTGAGGCAGTACTTAAAGGAGTTGTCTAAGGAGGAAAGACAGCTGACCTACGACTTCTATTACTTGGATTACTTAATGTTCAATTATACATCACCGATTGTATAGCACCAGAATAGCTTCAGGCTTCTATTAGATATTTATCATTTTGGGATTCAGAACAACTACTTTGATATTACCTCTAAAAGGAAACAAAGTAACTGCTAAGTGGAGTTGTCTTGACTTACTGGAGGTTTTATAAACTAGAGTGACATCAATTGACATAAAGTTATAGGAAAATGCACAAAAAAGACCTGTAAACAGCATAAATTGCACTAAAATGCCTGAAAAAGCTGCTTTTACCATTACAGATTATATTGTGGAAGCGGTAATGCAGCCAGCTGTTGCATTAGCCTACCTAATGTTCTTTTAATGGTTTAAGAAAAAAGCATTCAGAATAGCATGATATTTTTGGTGTGTCTGCTTTAGAAATTGTTTTTGAAACTATTTTTTGAATGTATTTTTTACTTTCTGTTGCTTATTAATAAAGAAGCATTGGCTAATTTTCTAAAATGTTTGCAGTGTTCTCAGTTGTAAGAGTTGTTTTTTTGATTACCATTAGACTGTAGCTGTTTTTAGACCTGACTGTTTGTTTTACTGAAGGATGGTTTTGAATACAAATGCATAACGCTACAGATAACACAGCAGCTCAACTTTTCAGCGCAGTAAGTTTGGGTGAGCCTGCCATGTGAAGTCATAGTCCACTACACCGTTTTGACTGAAGTACTGTAAACAACACACAGGAGCCTCCTTTCAGAGAACTTAAATGTGCATTAAAATTAACATTTTAATTTTACTCTGGAGTCAACTGCATGATGCATACCCTGGTCCCAGTGTTCAAGATAGTATTCATTTTTAGTGGTGAGGCAAAGTCTTAGGGTGGTGGCTGTGGGACATTATAATATCTGTACTAAGAAGCAACTTCATTGCTGCTGCTGTGACTGCTCTTGGTCTGCCAGTGTCCGATCATCTGTCCAAGTCCCAGCAACTTGTTGCACGGAAAGTGCATATGCCTATCACCTACCAGTCCCATGGGCTGCTTTTTGACCTGAGCTTCCTGAAGTCACCATTTTGCTGTTCTTCCCGCCTTGTCAACACCTAGCAAACCCCAGGGGCAGGGTGGATGCTGCAGTGTTAAATGGTGGGTGTGTATTGGTGGTTAACTCTAGAGGCAGTTGTGTCCAGCATCCCACAGTCTTGGTTATAAAATGTAATCCTCTATTCCTCCTTTGTCCTCCCTTAAGTGCTGTGTGACCAACACGTGTGGTCATTCCTGCAGTCCACAGCTGCATTCAATATGGCCAAGATGTCCCAGGAGGAGGAGGAGAAATCTCCTTCCAAATGGAGAAAATAAATAAATAAATAATAAATAAATAAATAAATAAATAATAGAATAGACACCTATTGTTTGTTTTCTGGAGCGATTTGGAACATTTTGCTCCATCATCTTCATATAGCAAACTGTAGAAGAAAAGGAAGCAGTTTGGCAGGAAACAAGAAGGTGAAATGTCCTTTTCCTCTGTTCCCAACAACTGTTCATGGTCAGAACTGTTGCTGTCTTTTCCCTCATCTTGTGCAAATGTATGGCTTCAGTCCTGCAGAAGTAATAGTGGGTCCCTGCTGACACACAGGGAGAGGGACCATTTCCTACATAACTCCCACTGCTTGTTTCTGCCTCAATTTCCTTCTCTGAAGAGGAGGAAAGCCACTTACAGCCTGCACAGTGCTGGCGCATAGCCCCAGGCTCTTCCCATCTCTTCCTGTGGCAGGATGAGCATGCTCTGAGGAGGGAAGGTAGAAGCAGGCTGGGCAGCCGGAGGCAGAGGTGGTGCTGTATGGGGCTACCAGCACCTGCAGCAAAGCCATCCCATTCCCTGGGGCTGTGGAGCAAACCATGAGGCTTGGAGAAGTACAGGTGTTCAGCACCAATGAGGAGCTCCATGGGTACCTCAGGTAGGTAAACGTGCACAGTGTTACTTGTGAGAGCCGTTGTTGTGCTCAGATGGACCCACAGATGTTAACACCAGAAGTGTTTTGGACAGGATATCTGACCAAAGGACTGCCCTAATGCATGTCTTTCCTCAGGTGAGTAACGTGTCCCTAAATCTCCCCCTTTACACTCAAGATGGTGTCTGATTCCACCTTCCCCCATAGAAATCCCTCTGGTTTTTCTGTATGGCTGAAGGCTCGGCCCAAGGGCCCCATGCTGGAAAGGCAGTTCCTTGCCAGGCTGATATGCTGGGCATCATTATGCTACTGCCCAGGTGCCCTTGCATCACACCAGCCGCTCTTTAAAGAAAAGCCCTTATTGAGTAACACTGAGTTCCCATGTATCTTTACTAAGCACAATTGTTTTTGATTTTAATATTTTGACTGTGCACTTTCATGACTGTTTTGAGCAGGACCATGCATTAAGACATTTAAGAGCAGTTCCTGACAGAATTTTTATTTTGTGTCATCCAACCTTCTAACTCATGTGAAAAACCGCCTTTAGATTTCACTTGGATTTGACCTTGGTGTATAAAGCATCTTTTCCACTTACACAGCAATGCTCTCTAGATCCTCTGCTCTTTGTAAGTATTGATTCCCACCTCAAATCCTGAATGAATCTCTCTTGCCATGTAGGGATTTCTTCCAGGTCATCAGGGATGTTAAATAAAAAATAAATGTACACCAATCTTTTGATACCCTTATATTTGCTTTGTCTTGTCTGTTGCAGATGTTTGTTAATTAATTGTTATTTTACAGACAAAAAAAAAAAGGCTTATGCACCAATATATTCCCCAAACTACATGCAAATAAAACAGTTTAGCATCCTAATAAAGAATGGAGATGAATTCATCTATGTTTTGAATGAATTCTTTAATTTGGAGAAATAAATAGTAATAAATTACAAAGTCTCTGAAGAACTTGAGTTTAACCTTGAGCTTGCTTTAGTGACAAACTTCAGCTTATCTGATCAGAGAATGAAATAGATTATGAGGAGGGGAATGTAATTGTACTGAAAAAATTGTACAGTCTCATAAGATTTCCTATACTAACTGGTCTTACATAAAGCCATTGTTTGAGTCAAGGGGGGTGAAAAAAAGTTATTAGCAAATGTTTGGTTTCTGCAAATGAGAGAGAAAATGACATTGATTTGCATGCATCCGTGGACATAGACATCAGGTCCCTGGGTTGTCATCTTGAAAATCTGGTATGGTTTGTATTTGTGATTTAAAAAGGGAGGACACTACTTAAGGCCTTTAAAGTGTGTATGTGCACAGAAGCGTAATTGTTTGAGCTGCACTGTTGTTCTATGGCTCTAGTGAAAGTAATTCAACTTCTTTGTATGCTCAACTTCAAATTTCATAGCCCCTAACTGCACTTAAAAATTCATTTTTTGAAAATCTAACCCAGACTTGTGTGAAGAAGAGCCTCTCCACAGTCATCTTCAGTGACCTAGGGGATTCAGATGATCTCAGTAGCAGAATCTAGATTGTACTTTGCCTCATTAACCACATTTTGAAAATCACCAGCCTGCTTTGCCAGGAATTAAGTTACATGATTTAAAATTAACATAAGAGTTTAGCATAATTGAAGTGGGACTGTGATATCTGACTTGTGGGATTATAAGAGATGAAGGCATAATTTGCAGCATAAAAGATAACCTCTATTTTTAAAAGTAAATTTTAAAAGGTCAAAGTGTGAAGTTGAGTTGTAGTTTAGCTTATATTTTGTATGACTGCTAGGCAAAAACAAAAGCTGAAGGTCATCCACTGTAACTTGCATAAAATCCCATCTACACAACGATGCACAGATGTTTGTTTTGCTCAGAAAAAGATATAGAGCATATGCAGAAGAGGAATGAAAACACACTCTACAGCATTCATTCAGTGCAATTGCATATATACTAAAGATCAGCTGCAGCATGCAGAGCCTGTTTTACGGGGCTCCATTACAGTAAATGCTTTTTAGTTATGAACATTTCTTCATTTGCAGATCTCTAAGCACTTCTGTAATGCAGGTCAGTTGCCAGGGTAGGTCAGATGTTCCGTAAAGGCGTTACAGCAAGTCTGTGGTAGGGACTGGAGTGGGAAGAGAATGCTCCCTTGGCTGTTTGCTCTGCTCCAAACATCGCAGTTGTACTTCCCTTCTGAAACAAAAACTTAATTTTGGGAAAGTAGTATTTTCGTATTTGCCTTTCTTCTTAAACAAATCCATGTTAATTTGAAAACAAAGTAAACTTCACAGATGTGCATTCTCAAATTCTTGGTGTTTTTGCCCACATGAGGCAGCTGCCTCTCTCCACATAGGATTTGGCCCGCAAAGCTGAGACAGCCATCACCGCCATCTCGTCTAAAGCTAAGCTGTTGCTCGCTGGCAGTCGGAGGTGTGCAGCCACAGTGCAATCAAATATGACACAGCCTCCTGAAATGTCCTCTGGTGTAACTCCCCCAAAAGGCCAAATTTATTGGAGCTACTCCTGCCTCGGGCTATTCTATCTCAGTGATGGGTCATTGGAGATCACCACTTTAATTTTAAATGTAGTTTAAATTTAAATGAAAATTACAATATGACACTTTTCAGAAGTCTGAGAGGAAAATATTTTAATAGAGCTCTGTATTGTGTATGTAGGTTATATATAAAAGTCTTTGTTGTATGTGCCTTCAGGCTAACCATGCATCAGATAAGTATTTTTAACTGTACTGTTAATACCAGTTTATCAGCCATGTAACCTGCTGTGATGCTTTCAGAACTAAATGAATCTGGCCTTGGAACCTAATGTCTGAAATCAGGCCATAAATTGTTACACTTCATAAAAAAAATAGATGTGCTTGTCCTGTATCAAGAAATTCATTTACAGTTCAGAGGACAGGGCAGGGACACAGAGTACTGGGGGATGGAACTGATTCGGTAAAGGGAATCTGCCCATAGCCGCAGGATACTTGGGACTGATTTGCGTTCTGGAAAGTCTATATGTGGGTGAGTGGAGGAAACAGTCATATTATTAGTTTAATGAGAATGTTTTCAGTGAAATTAGGGTGTTCATAAAAATATTTATCTGGGGGGAGAACTGCTAAGCTTCTGGCTCTGTAGCTAATTGCAGGGAGTTCTTCAGAGTCCTGAGGTGTAGCTCTGCTTGTGGTTGCAGTATCAGACTTGGACTTCAGACATCTGGATTCTCCTCCAACTTCTGTAGCTCCATGGACTTGTTGAGCAACCTGACCTGCTCTCTGCCTCAATTTTCCCACTGGTATAATGGTCCTGTAAATGGGTGGTAATTATACCACGTGTCTTCTGCTAAAAGTATGGAACTCTGTGCTTTAACAGATGTGTTTTGAAGTAGGGTATTAGCATGGAATTTAACTCATAGGATGTTCATGCCCTTTCTTTACATTTTCTTTCCAGTGGATTGGAAGAAGCCAGGGACTTCCCAGTTTTGTTCCAGCCAAGAAGTGCATCATTCAGCTTTGTTCTTCGCAGTTGGCAGCCTTAAGAATGCAAGCTCTGTTTCAAAACACTGTGCATCTGT